ACTTCAATTAATTAATTCTATTTTAATTCAAAAACGGAAACAATAGAAGTTTATTTCCGCGGCAAAACGCTTGAGGGTGTTCCCACGTACATACACCCGAAGCAGCGCTGGATGTTTTCCGGATTTAGCTCATGATCTTGTTTGCAAATGCTTTTCAAATGATTTTATTTGCCATTTAATCATTTATTTCGAAAGTAGGGGATGCTACCATGCGCAGAAAAGGAAAGTTGGGGGGGCGGCGTCTGCTTGATTCATTCTTCTTCGTTTTTGCATTTTCAGTTTTTCCCGTTTTCCTCTCAACTCATTTTTCAGCAGCATTCTTTGTAAAGGCTCCTTCGCATTTTGCTGCTGAGTCCAGCAGCTGCAGGCCAGCTAATAGGGGCCCCAAAACTGCACCCTATTTGGGGCCCCCCAGCCACTATAGGGGGCCCCCCGGCGGTCCTAGGGGCCCCATTTCCTTCCTCTCCCTTGCCGTTCCTGCTGCAGCAGCTGCTGCTGCCGCCTCAGCTGCTGCTGCTGCCACTTCTGCAGCAGCACAGAGCTCGCCACAGCACAACTCAGCTCCTTGGGGGGCCCCCAGGGGGGCCCCCGGGGGGCCCCCCCTGGCGCCCACGGCTTTGTGGGCCCTGGGGCGCTGGGGGGGCCCCCAGAGAAGCGCTTTAAGCCATTTTGTGGCACTCAAGGATTTGCAGAGGCCCCCAGAGCTGTCAGGCCTCTCTGGGGCCCCCAAGGGGGCCCCAGCAGCAGCAGCAGCAGCAGCAGCGGCTGCGAAGGTCCCCTGGAACCAGCTGCTGGCGCTGCAGGGCCCCCGAGAGGGGCCCCCCAGCCGGCTGTGGGCCTGGGGGGGCCCCCAGGGGCCCCCCTTGAACTCAAATGATTATCTCAACTTTGCTGAAGATGATTTTGAAGAAATAAAAAAAGAAAAAGAAAAAGAAAAAGAAAAAGTCTCAAAAGTCTGCAGAGCTGCTGCTGCTGCTTGCTATTTAATGCCACTCGCTGACACCATGCAGGTAAACCCTGCTGCTGCTGCTGCTGCTGCTGCTCTTAGTGCTGCTGCTGCTGCTGCTGTTACTGCTCTGCTGCTGCTTCTGCTACTGCTGTCCATCCCGTTGCTGCTGCTAGTCTTGTCGCGCTGCTGCTGCTCTTGCCGCTGCTGTGGCTGGCGCGGCTTCTGATGCTGGCACTGTGCCAGTTCTGCTGCTGCTGCTGCTGCTGCTGCTGCTTTTGCTGCTTTCTGTGTATCTGGTTTTGCGAAATAAAAGGCATGCATGCATGCATTTGTTGTGCCACTTATTTGTGCATTTACCTCCACTTTTGTTAACTCTTTTGTTTAATTAATTAATTATTTGACAAAACATTTATTTATTTATTTATTTATTATTATTAATTAATTAATTAATTAATTTATTTATTTTCAGGCTTTTCCCCCGCACCCTTCTTTGGGTTTGCTGTTTGGGCGTTTTGGAGGATTTGTAAATTTGTTTTCTTTCTTTTCTTCTTTTTTTATTTTGAAAAAAAAGATCATTAAAACTAATCCATTTGTTAAACACCACCTCATGACTGTGAGGCTGCTGCTGCTGCTGCTGCTGCTGCTGCGTAGGGCTGGGGCAGTCTTGGACGGCTGCGGCTGCAGCAGCTGCTGCTGTGGCTGCTGCTGCTGTGGCTGCTGCAATTATTGCTGCTGTTGTGGCGCTGTGCGCTGCTGTGGCCAATTCAATTGCTGCTGCTGCTGCTGCTGCTGCTAGTGTTGCTGCTGCTGTTGCTGCAGTTGCTTCCTCTGCTCTTAGTTCTAACGCCGCTACTGTTCTCCATTTGCCGGCCCTTTCTGCTGCTGCTGCTGCTGTGCTGCTGCTGCTGCTGCAGTGCCGCGAATGCATGCGAAGCAAAAGCAAAGTAAAAAGGCTTTGTTTGTGTTCTCAGGCTTCTCTGTTGTCTCTTTGCTGCTTCACTTTGTCAAACATCCAACACAAAGTTATTTCTTTTTTTTTAAATCGAAATGAAAATTTATTTTCTTCTCTTTCTCTGTCTTCTTCTTTTTTCATTTTGTCGCTGCTGGCCCAGGCCTTTGCTGCTGCACTTTCAGGAAAGTGAGTTTATTTGCCAAATTCCAACTCCTTTTATTCTTTAAAAATGGAGTTTTTCTTTTTTCTTCTAGTTCCAGTCCAATGGCTCTCTGTCCTCAGGTGTCTGTACATCCCAATGAAGCAACTATTGCCTCTTTTCTTTTCTTTTCTTTTCTTCTTTCCTTTTCTTTTCTTTTCTTTAATTTTAATTTTAATTTTAAATGCTATCTCATTTTATCTTCATCAAATGGTTCTTTCTGTTTCGTCTTTTAGATTTGTTTTGGTCCCAAGATCTGCCTCAAAAGGCGGCGTTACATTTGTCGTTTGTTCCGTGTTTTGTAAAATAAATAAAATTAAAATAAATAATAAATAATAAATAATAAATTATAAATTATAAATAAATAAATTATAAATAAATGTTTTTTATTTTTCAGTTTTGTCATTTTCATGTTTTCTGCATGCAGAGCCGCCTCGCTGCCGGTGCTGTCTGAGGCTGTGGCGCTTCACCTTGGCCCGGAGAACTACAGAGGCAAATAAATAAATAAATAAATAAATAAAATAAATAAACAAATAAATATAAATAAATATATAAATATATAAAATAAAAAATTAAATGGCGAAAAAGAAAAAAAGAATGAATCAAATAACAGGTAGCCTCGCAGATAAATGCAATTCCCGGCGAAGAACGAAAACGAAAAATGCCAATTAGCTGCTGCCGCAGCAGCAGCACAATGCTGCTGCTGCAGCAGCAAAATGCTGCAGTAGCAGCAGCAGAAGCAAGACAACCAATACGAACTTCTCAAGAGAAATAATGACTTGCTTATTGGTTAATTTGCTGCTGCAGCAACAAAATAACCAACAAGAACTTCTCAAGAGAAGAAATGAATTGCTTTTCTGTTCTTGTGTACGTACACCCCAGCTTCAGCTGTAACCCCTTGCGAAGCAAAACATAATAATGGCAGCAGCAACAACAGCAGCAGCAGCAGCAGCAAACAAATAATAAGTAATTCTTGTTATATTTCTAAATAAATGAAATAAAACAATAAAACAAATGCCATTCAATCACTTACTGCGAGAAGCAGCAACCAGAGCTTCCTATAGAACTCCAAAATAAGAAAAGAAACTTTTGTCTAAAAACCAAAAATGTCATTTTTTATAAAAGATCTTCTTTGTCTAAAAAAACAAAAAAGTCCCGTTTTTAAAGAAATTCTTTCGTCTAAAAAGCGACAAAGAAGACTTTTATTTAAAAGTTTCTTTCGTTTTAAAAGGACAACAAGAAAAGCTTTTTATATGAAAGGACAGCAAAAAAGCCTCTTATTTGAAAGATTCTTTTGGTTGAAGGGAGGCAAAAAGAGTCTTTTATTAAAAAGAAAAGTAAAGAAGACATTTAATATAAAAGGGCCTCTGTGTTGCATGCAGCCTCATGTGCAGTATTTGGAAGAATGGATTTTCTGAAAGCCTTTTTGTCTTCGCCAAAAAAGCTTTTAGAAATCTTCAGCGAGCACTTGTGTTGAATTAGAACTGCTACACTCTTTCTTTAAAGAAAGAGTGTAGCATTTGAAGTTTCGAATTTAGTGCAAATGTCTATGAATTATATTCCAAACTTTTTTGTTTTGAATATAATTTAAGGACATTTGAAGCCCTCATGCTTCCAACTATGACTATGTGGTGTTTGTACGGAGGAGAATTAAGTTGAAACCACTTAATGCAGATCTTTTTCAATTTGAAATTCAACAAGAAAGTCTCTTCAATTTAAAGTTCAACAAAATGTAAAAGGATAAATTCATGTTGAAGTGGGACTTGACTTCTATTTCAGCTGCTGAGCTGCTTTTGCAGCAGCAAAAAGTCTAAATAGTCAGTAGAGGTGACTTATAAGAAATAATTTCTTGAAAAGAAAGAGAAATTAGAGAAAAATGCAAAATAAGTAAATAATTAATTTTAAAAATGACCAATTTTTATTCTAGGAAGCTCAAAAAGCATAAACTCGTCAGGTGGGGCCTCGAACAGCAAATGGAATACCAACGGTGTGCAAGAATTTCAGAAACTTGAATCTGCGCACTTTGTTGAAATTTTTGAGAATTTAGAAAAGTTAAATTATGCATTTTTAATATTTATTTATTTACAGAATTATATTTGCAATTCCTTTTGCAAAAAAGAACTGCTTTCTTTCAGAGGCAGAACGGTAGATACACCCGAACCTGCTGATCTCGAGGGATGCGAAACGAAGCCAACGCAGCCAAACTGAACGAAAAAAGCACATATAAAATACTCAAATATTCAAAAATATTATCAAAATATACTTTAATTCAAAATTAGAATGAAAATTAGTTCATTTTTGTCGAAGTCCACAGATAGCTAGCTCGCAGACACTGCAGAGCCTCGCAATCGACGGGAGAAGCTGTCTCGGCCGTTGGCGCGGCTGCGTCTGCAGGAAATGCAGCAAAAGAAAAACAAAGTTGAAAACATTTTTAAATTAATAAAAAGACTTTTTCTTCATCTGAAATCAGAAGCTGAAGCAAAGACGAATTCGGGTTTGAATTCGCTGGCGCGGCCTGGAAGTGGCTTTCGTTTGCTTCCCTTTTCCTCAAATTGTTTGAATTAATGAGTTTAATGAATCGAACGAATGAAATGGTTTAATTAAATGAATTAAATGAATTAAATTAATTAATTAAACTGCATTTTAAAGCTCTCAACTGCGCGAAAAGTCCCGGAGAGAGCCGCGCGGCGTGGCCCTGCAGCGGTGACCTCGGCCAGCGGCTTCCGAGTGGCAGCACACTGCGCGGCTGGGGTCTGTTGCCTGTCAGAAAGATTTGAAGTTCACTTTCATTTTGAAATTCTTTCGAGACTTTATTGAACTAAAAAGCCCCGAACTCCGAGGCCCCCCAGCGGCCGCTTCTGCAGCAAAACAGCAGCATACAGCAGCAAAACAGCAGCAAAATGATCGTCGGGTGCCCCAAAGAAGTCAAGCCCCAGGAGGGCCGAGTGGGACTCCTGCCTGCAGGCGCTGCTGAACTTGTCCGAAATAAACATAAAGTGTTAATTCAAAAAGGGGCTGGCGAGTTGGCGGGGGCGCCGGACGAGCAGTACAGCCTGGCGGGCGCGGAGTTGGTGGAAACTGCAGCAGAAGTCTTCGCGCGCGCAGACCTTATAGTCAAAGTGAATCATTTTTAAAAACTAAACTATGTTCTTCCTTTTATTTTGAGTCCGCTTCGAAAAGGAAGAGCTTTCCCGCGCTTTCCGCCGCCGCGGCCGCGAGTCGTGGAGTGTACGTACACCTGCACACCGCCGGCGGCGCTCGGCGCGCGCGGGGGCGATCTTGTTCGTTTTTGCGCATTTTTGGTCGATTTTTTTCAATTTTCGAGGCGAAAAGCGCTATTTTATCCAAATAAGTGGCAGCGAGCTGCGAACTCTGCGTTCAGGTGAAGGAGCCGCAGCCGGAGGAGTACGTGCACGTGCGCGGGGGCCAGGTGGTGTTCACGTACTTCCACTTCGCCTCCAGCCGCAGCCTCACGGAGGCCATGCTGCAGAGCCAGGCCGTCTGCATCGCCTACGAGACTGTGGAGGAGCCGGGGCGGCGGCTGGTGCTGCTCGAGCCCATGTCCGAAGTCGCAGGCCGCATGGCCATCCTCGAGGGCCTCCACCACCTCCGCAGCTGCAGCGGCGGGAAGGGCGTGCTGCTGGGCGGCGTGCCCGGCGTGCCCCGCGGCAAAGTGCTCATTCTGGGCGGCGGCGTGGTGGGGCTGAACGCAGCAAAAGCTGCAGCGGGAATCGGCGCCACTGTTGTCATTATGGACTGCAACTTCACCAGACTCCGCTTCTTGGTGAGCTCCGGACTCTTTTCCGGCCCCAGGTGCATGCAGTTCAGGTTCGCTGCTGCGGAGCTTTCGTGCAGCGCTTCTTAGCGCTAAACGCTGCAGCAGCAGCAGCAGCAGCAGCAGCAGCAGCAGCTTCCAGGTTCTCCGTTGGCTGCTCGGTTCCCTCGTTTAGTTTAGTTCTGACAGAGAGCAGCGAGGCGCCGCAAACACTCCGTGTCCCTTTTGCCCCAACGCTCTGAGACCCGCATTCAAACGCCGCTGCCGCTGCTGCTGCCGCCGCTGCTGCTGCTGCTGCTGCTGCAGGACGACATTTTGCCGCGGAACTGCACGACGCGGTACTTCTCGGAGGCGGCGCTGGTGCAGGAGCTGGGCGACGCGGACCTGGTGGTGGGGGCGGTGCTGCTGGCGGGCTGCAAAGCCCCGAAGCTGCTGCGGAGGGAACACCTGAAACGCATGCAGCGCGGCAGCCTCGTGGTGGACGTGGCGGTGGACCACGGCGGCTGCTGCGAGACGAGCCGCGGGACTTCGCATGCAGCGCCCACCTTCGAGGTGGAGGGCATTCTGCACTACGGCGTGGCCAACATGCCGGGCGCAGTCCCGGTGACCGCCACTGCGGCTCTCGCGAGCGCCACTCTTCCTTACGTGTTGCAAATTGCCAACTTCGGCTGGGCGGAGGCCTGCAGCCGCTGCGAGGCGCTCCGCAAGGGGCTCAGCGTCGCCCGCGGCAGGGTCTTGCACGCCGGCGTCGCCGCGACGTTCAACTTCCCGGTTTCCTCCTTTGAGGACGTTTCCGCGGCGCAAAGCAACCCCACAGTCAGTGCTTAGCGCTTTTATTTCATTTCCAGAAAAAAAACGCAAAAAAAACCGAAAAAAGACCCGCTTTCCTCCAGCTTTCCGCGGATTCACGAACGCAGACCCCAGACGCGCAGCTCCTGCTTTCCGCGAATCCATTCGTTCCGCAGCTTCTTCGAGCTCCGAAAAAGCCAATAAGTCCTTTTCCAAGGCTTTTCGTTATTTATTTCCAGCTGCTTCAACTGCGGCGAAGTCTTTCGGGCGCTCCGTGCCGGAATTGAACTGCGCGGCTGCGGCGCCGTTTTAAGCTTTCTGCACACCTGAATCTGCTTTCCGCACTTCAGAACGGTAGCAACTTAATGTTCAATCGAAAGAAGTAGTAAAAACATAAATAAATGACTGAACATTTTCGTAATAGTCCTTGCAAGCAGTTGAGTGCATCATAGTTGGAATGCCGCCGGGAAACAGTTGCATGCAGCCTAATCCTACTTAGCTCAGTAGACAGCTGAATATAATGCAGCACGGAGATTCTCAACGGAGGATTCAACCATGGAAATGAGTTCAACAGACAATTCAAAACAATAAAAATAATGTTTCAAACATTTAATATACGTGCAAGAACAGCCGGTTCCTGTTTCATGCATATTGCGGCGATGCTGGCGCTGGGCAAATAGTTATGAATTAAGTGCCAGTGTCGTTCATTTGAACTTATATTTAGTAGTTTTAAACTTTTTTTGGCCAAATTGTGCAAAAGACGGAGCCAGTGACTGCAGACGAGCGAAACATGAATTGAGGAATGCCTGCAGCTGGCTTGCTGAGCGTCAGCTTGAGGCCACCGCAGCCTGTTGAAGTATTATGCACTCAGTGCTTAAAAAAAGGATTTTTGAATCAAATGAAATAATAAAGGTGATACAAAATGAACTTTAATTCGCTAATAAAGCTGCGTTCTGGGCTGCGCAGCTGCAGCGAGCCAATGGCTCGAAGCGACCTTCAGTTCCCGAGTTAATGCTTGCGCCCGTGCAAAACTCCCTATTCTTTTGAAAACATATTATGAAATTTTTTTCATTTTTTTAAATTAAAAGAGAAACAAAGAAGGCGCTTCATTTGTATTTGTGGTTCTTCAGCTGCTGGTGTTCTGTGCTGCAGCTCAGACCGCGTCGGCAGCGGTGTGGGCGCGCGCGCAAGGGCTGGGGCCCTCGAGCGGCTGCAGCTGCAGCCAGTTCGAATTGCTCTCGATCAAACTTTCTTTTTAGTTTTTACTTTATGACATTTGCAAAATATCTCGAGATCCGGAGGCGCACACATTCTCTGGGGGCGCTGAGCAGCAGCAGCAGCAGCAGCAGCAGCAGCGACACCGGATGACTCTCCGCAGCTGGCTCTGCGCGTGGGAAACAGCGAAAACGAGCGCTGCAGGGCTCATTCGCCCGATCTGCCTTTAAAATACATTTATTTCAATAATTGGGGTCTTTTGCGGGAGGAAAATAAAAGGATCGGCGGTACTTTCCTGCTCTTTCGCCGCGTCAAGATGGCGACCGCGCGGGACGCAGTGCAGTGCCTAATGCTCTGCGTCGCCGTCTTGGCCGCATTTTCCTGCATTTCGAGGCCCGACTGCAACTTCCCTCTTTATTTGTACTTTTGGTGGGTGTTTTTCTACGTGCCTGAGGACAGAAAGGTGCGTGGCTGCGCCGCAGCTTTCCAAGTTGAACTGCTGCCTCCCCTGCAGTTCAACTTGCAAAAACTTGCAAAAGCTGCGCCCACTGCAGCAAATCCGCCACATGTCTGCAGCCCCTCTTAGTTTATTCCTTGTGCTGCAGCGGCAGCAGCGCTCCATGGTCTTCTTCATGATGCTTTCCTGCGTGCAAGACATCATCTTTTTGTTGTACTGGCGTGAGTTTCCAGCCTTCCCTGCTTGATCTGCCGGATCTTAGAGCCTTTTTTCGATTTTATTTGCAAAAAGAACTTTAAAACCCTAAATTCAGCCTTTTTCCCGAGAAAAATGTCCAATTCAGCTTTTCAGTTCAAGTTCTGTGCTGCTGCTGCTGCTGCTGCTGCTGCTGCAGCACCGCGGTGGCTCGCCCACGAGTGGCTCGCCGTCAGCAGCGCCGAAGAGGGCGTCCACATTCTCTCTACGGTCCTGGGCCTCATAGAGCTCGGCTTAAAGGTCAGCACTTGCAGCTTTTGCTGCAGCACTTGCAGCTCTTGCTGCTGCAGTTGCAGCTTCTGCTGCAGCACTTGCAGCTTCTGCTGCAGCAATTCCACGTTTCGCTGCTGCAGCTGCAGTTTTCGCTGCAGTAGTTGCGGGTTGTGCTGCAGCAGTTGCTGGCCTTGCTGCTGCAGTTGCACGTTTTGGTGCTGCAGTTCCAGGATTTGCTGCTGCAGTTGCACGTTTTGCTCCTGCAGATTTGCTGCTGCGCTGCTCTTCAGCAGCTCAGATCATCCTGGCCAGCTGTTGCTGCTTCCTTACTTGCTGCTGCATCGCCAGCTGCTGTTGCATATTGAGTTGCTGCTGCATCACTTGAGTTGCTGCTGCTGCTTCCTGGGCTGCTGCTGGTTCGCGAGTTGCTGCTGCTGCCTTGCTGCTGTTAGAAGTCTTGCTGCTGTTTCGAGCTCTCTGGGCAACCTGGAGGTTCTGCTGCCCCAGCTAAGACAGCTACTGCTGCGTGCTGCTTGCTGCTGCTGCTGCTGCTGCTCAGGTGCTGATTCTGGCGCTGCTGCTGGTCCCCAGCATTACGGAGAATACTGCGGAAATGGCGAAGAGGTGGAGCAGCAGCAACGGCTTAATAAGGCTGGAAATGCCTGCAGGGGGGCCCCCGCTGCAGCAGCTGCAGCAGCAGCAGCACTTTGGAAGGCCGGACTTGCTGCTGCCGCCTTACTACCTGCAGCAAAACTTCAGCAGCAGCTACGCGCGCTGACCGCTGCTGCTGCTGCTGCTTGATTTCCGGGAAACTTCGAGTTGTTTCCCGACTTGTTTGGTTTTTTTGTAATTTTTCAGTTGTTTTTCAATAATTTAGCAGCAGCAGAGCTGCTGGCTGAGAAGAAAGTTAAAAGTCGCCGGCGGAGAGAAATCGGAAAAGTGGAAATGCGCTGCCGGCGCGAGCTGTACGTACACCTCAGCGCTGTCCACCGGCGCTGCGAATCCGAATTTATTTTCATTTCTTTTAAATGAACGCCAACTGAGAAGTATACGAGTCTTCTCCACGACTTTATACATTTAAAACCTTTTTATTTGCAATATTAGCGCAAACTGCAGGAAAAAGACGGCCCTAGTCTAGCAGCAGCAGCAGCAGCAGCAGCAGCAGCGCAGCAGCCCCGCTAGAAGCAGACAAAATGCCTCAGGGGGTAAACTTACATTTTTAGATTTTTATATTTTAAATTTATTTATGCATTTTTATATTTTAAAAGTGCAACGAAATGCATTTTGTTCATAAAGAAATACTTTCACTTGTGCGGCTCTATCTGCGTACGGCTTGTAAATATAGAAATGCAAATATGTATATATAAATGCATATATAAATACAAACATATATATATATACATATATATAATTACCCATGAACAAATAAGTACAAATATACATATATATATATATACATATACCTATATGTATACATATATATATATATATATAAATATGTAAATACGAATGTATGTACATATCTGAATATAGATATACAATTACTCACAAATATACAAATACAAATGCGTATATATGTAAATAGACAACTATTTATAAGTTTATAAATACAAGTACATATATATATATAAATATACAATCATTTATAAACGCATAAATATAAATAAATATTATACAATAGACAAACAAGTGACTTTCTGCAATGGCTTTGCTGCTGCTACGCAGCCGCTGCTGCAGCAAAGCAGCAAATAAGAATTGGCTGAAACTGGCTCAGGTACTAAACCCTAAACCCTAAACCCTAAACGGGAAGATAAGATACTTGCCTATCTCCCAGTCCGCTAAGAGCAGCTGAGGCCTTCAGCTTCCTCCCTGAAAAGGGGGGGAAAGGACAGCTGGTTCTGCGCAGCAAAATTAACGCTGCTGCTGCAGCAGCAGCTGTTGCTGCTGCTGCAGCTATTGCTGTTGCTATTGCTGCTGCAGTCGCTGCAGCAGCTATTGTTGCTGCTTTCGTTGCAGCTGCTGCTCGAGCAGCAGCAGCAGTCTGCTGCTGCTGCTGCTCCGCAGCTGCAGAGTTCTGCTGCTGCTGCTGCTCCAGCAGCAGCAGCAGCAGCAGCAGAGGCGAACTAGCCATACCGCAGCACTGCTGCTGCCCATGTGAGCCCCGCGCCGAAGCCCGCTATGGCAATGACATCTCCTTTTTTGACTTTTCCTTCTTGGACCTAAAAATAAAAACAATTTAAAACAATAAATAAAAACATGAAATTAAAAGGTAATGAAATACTGTGAAATTTTAAAAAAAAAAAAAATGATGCGAAACGGACGTGGGGTGTCTGTACACCTCAGCGAGCCCCGTGTGCACCGCCTTCGCCTCAACTCCAGAAACTCAAAACTCATCTTCCAAAACCCTAAACCCTAAACCCTAAACCCTCAGAAATAACCCACCGCTTCTGCCAGACAGAGGGGCACGGATGCCGCTGAGGTGTTTCCGTATTCCTCAAGGTTGCAGAGCACCTGCAGCAGCAGCAGCAGCAGCAAAAGCAGCAGCAGCAGAAGTGAGGCGCGCACCAGAGAAAGACGCCAGCAACCACTGCTACAGCAGCAGCAACAGCAGCAGCGACAGCAGCAGCAGCAGCGACTGCGGCAGCAGCAGCGCAGCAGCACCGACTGCAGCAGCAGCAGCGCAGCAGCAGCGACTGCAGCAGCAGCAGCAGCAGCGCTGACCTTGTGTTTGGGGATGTTGAGTCTGTCTGCAACAGCATCGAGAATGCGTTTGTTGGCCTGGTGCATCAGCAGCCAGTCCACTTCTGCTGCTGCAACACCAGCAGCAGCAAAAGCTGCTTCCAAAGAAATGGGGACTTTTCGAGACACAAACTTAAACACTTCCCGCCCGTTCATCGACAGCGGCGCAAACGCCCCGCTGCTCACGCTCACGCACCCCCCCTGCAGCAGCAGCAGCAGCAGCAGCAGCAGGAGGCGTTGTTTGGGGGCGGAGGGGCGAAGGGCCCCCCGGCGAAGAGCGCATGCAGCGGGGTGTACGTACAGCCGAAGAAGCGCGAGGGCGGAGCAGCAGCAGGAGCAGGAGCAGGAGCAGCAGCATTAAGGTGAACTTTAGGATTGACTTAAAAGCAAAACTGAAGAGAAACACATTTGAAGTTCAAAGTGGCACTTGGCAGCAGCGAGACTGGGAAAGCTGCTGCGGCCTGCTGCAGGCTGGGGTGTACGTACACCTGGGCCCCGCAGCGGCAGCGGCGCCTCCGCGCCTCTGTAGTGAAGCTGAATTTGTTTTTGTTCAAATCCGTCGCTGTGCAGCACATAGCTGAGGAGCCCGAGGGGCTTCTGCTGCTGCCCCTCAGCAGCAGCAGCAGCAGGAGCAGCAGCAGCAGGAGCAGCAGCAGCAGCAGACAGCACTGCTGCACCCGCCCCGTCTCCAAATAATATGCAAGTGTTTCGGTCCCTCCAGTCCAGCCAGCGGCTGAGGGCGTCGGAGCCCACAAGCAGCGCCGTGCGGTAGGGGCTGCCCGGGCTCGACAGGTACATGTTTGCTGCGCGCAGCAGCAGCAGCAGCAGCAGCAGCAGCAGCAGCGGCGGCGGCGGCGGGGGCGCAGGTGTCAGGGGGGCTGGGGGACAGCCCGGCGAAACGCGACGGACCCTCTCATCGAAAGCACCAAGCAGCAGCAAGCCAGAAACCCCTCAGCAGCAGCAGCAGCAGCAGCAGCAACATGAGCAGCAGCAGCAGCATCACCTACACAACCATCATCATCACCAGAACATCACCAGCACCATCACCAGAACATGACCATCACCATAACCACCACCATAACCACCACCACCACCATCAGCAGCAGCAGCAGCAGCAGCAGCAGCAGCAGCAGCAGACCTGTGATGAGGCCGACGACGAAGCCGGAGCAGGCCGCAGTCAAGTCGAAGGCGGGCGCGGGGGCGTCGCCGGGCCGCTGCAGCTGCGCCGCGAGCCAGGGGCCGTCGCCGAAGAGGTCGTCGGGCGAAGAGGAGGCGTGGAGAAGAAGGTCCAGCTTGTTGGCTGCGAGGCCGCTGGCGGCGAGGGCTTTCTGTGCTGCTGCCACGGACAAGTCCCGCAGCGCCTCGCCGTGCCGCAGCACGCGCCGCGCGGCGATGCCCGTCCGCGTCCGGATCCACTGCGCCGATCCGCAGAAACCGCACGCAAACTCCCGCTTCTTTCCGCCAATTCCAATCTCAAATGCAAAATTAAAGTCAATTCAGCGCAAAAGTCCCCGAGATCGCGCGCGGACTCCGCTAAAAGTGCAGCTTTCCGAAAATTCAAGTTGCTGCGCGCGCCGCGGCAGGCGACGCCGGAAGCGCCGCGATTGCGCACGGAAACGCCAGAAATGCAGAACTTTAACTCTTCAACAAATTGCAAAACTCGCTCGGAATTAACTCACGCAACGTTGCACAAAAAACGCGAAATTCAGACTTTTCGTGCAAGGCGGGTTGCGGCGCGCGTTGTTTGAGGTGTACGTACACCTCAAACAA